TGATTATAAATTATAGTATTATAATAATGATAATTACCACTTTCAAGGGTTTCCCTTTAGTGGTTTCTGATTTGTTCACTACTTTAATTTAAAATTATCTTGTACCTATCTATTATTATTTGTGAATAAATTTATTATTTATTTATTTATATATTATTCTAGAACAACTCACTACTTGAGGTACTACGTTAACTACAGGAGGTATTGAAATATTACTGGTATTACCAGGTTCATTAACTTTAATATTACCATATAGGTCAGCTTCTAATGTTAAAGAGGTAGCAAAAGCCTCTGTCTTAAAAGTTTTGAAATCTGCAACCCGATTTTGGGGTACTCTACCTTCTATCAGTAGAAATTTTTCCAACCTGAGTATTCTCTTAGTGACATGACTGAGTCTAGACTGTGTTCTCAAAAAAAGATTATCATTGGGGTCTCCAATGTCTGCAAAATCGATTACGTTTGCTGCAATCTGTGTAAAAGTATTATTTATCTCATCTTGTTCTCTCTCACAATCAAAAGCATAATTATTCAGATCAACTGTATTATCAGGAATCACCATCTCTCTCTCCAAAAGTCTTCGTAGCATTTTACGTTTTTCAGAAACATTACGTGCTGTGGTAACCTTTCGAATTGCAAGTTCATAATCAAGTTCGTAGTCTACTAAATGATTGACCTTAAATTTTTCCAAGTCCATTTTGCCGAAATAATCAAAAATATTTATCAAAATATAACAAAATTATTCAAATATTATGTATTGTACTACACAACACAAAGGGTGTTCACTGTCTCACCTGTACACAACCTGTATTTCAACCAAAAAAATATGTAAGACAGTATTGGTTCTCATACCAAGCAAAAAAATTTGAATTTCACTTTTGAAATTCTCAAAACACAACAGTTTCTAAGTATTTCTAACAAAAGAAACCAAACTCAAAATATTATGATTTTCAAAAATCAAAAATTGACCATCTGTGTAGATGTCAAAAAAAAATATCATAATTGATAAATCACTGAAAAGTAATGAGTCAAGATCGTCACCTTGAACTCAACAAAAAGCAAAAGAAAGTCTCTGCATGGAGAAATTCAATCTCAAAAAAAATTAAATATTAGCTATGAAGGCTAATTTAAATTCAATAACTCAAAATTATTGGTATAAAAAAAATGTTTTTTCATTAAATCCATTTAAGGGAAAATAACACTAATTCAATACACCAAAAGTGCCAAGACATGTACCAAGATCGAATGTGTTTTCATATGCAAGAGCGAAAGAATTCATTCATCTAAGTACCCTTCAAAAAAAATTTGTTGTAAATAGTTGATGTGTCACAAAAAAAAAATAGACGATGAAATTTCCTTTTAATTCACTGTTTGCCTTCTCTCTTCTCAAATATTACAATAACAACAAAAATTTGCAATCAGGCCCTACACGTTGAGGCGCCATTTTGTGAAACGTATTTTTTTTTTAAAAGGAGAAAAATGTATGTTTCCCATGCTTACGGCAGCTTTACATCGGCGGCATATGGGTTGTGAGTTGATTGCTAGTTATAAAGAATTGTTATTGTAATATTGAAATATGGAATATCTAATTTAAAGTTAATAATAAAAAAAATATGTATTACAAATTATTATTCAGAATTCAAGATTGGACGCCACTGATTCTTTCAAGCTAGGTGTTTGCTTTGGATAAAAATCAGAAACCTGAAAAGTTGAGAGAAGCCACATCAGTGCAATAAAAGAAACATTTTACCTAGGAGAATTTAATTGATATCAAATATTATTTGACACATAATGTAGTAAGTACCCACATATAAAATACACTCTATGTACACATCAGCTATTTACAGTTGAATTTCACTGGTTATATTGATTGATATTTGAAATATTAAAAAGTTGATATGAGATTTAAATATTCTGGTACGAAAATCCTCAAAAAGCCCACTTGAGTAATGGTAATATTCAAATAAACATGTTGTAAGTATGTTGCAGTAAAACGATACCCTGGGGAAAATTCATGAATTTTTTGGGGATATATGTGTGTTAAATTTGATCAATTTTAGTTGTTCAATAGGGCTTGGACAATATGTAGCTCAATATTTCAAATCATTCCAAGTGCTAAACTTTGTAAAATTCAATATATGAATGAAAAATAAACTAAATCAAAAGGTTTATAACTGGCCTGTCATCCAATGAAGATCCAGTAGTCAATGAAATGTAATGGGTAGGTAGATGATTAGAATGTGCTGCTAATGGTAAGAGAAGTGGTGGGTCATGGTGGATCAGCAGTGAACAACCATGCTGCTACCAGGACAAGGCCCCAAATTTCTCAGGACGAAATGTTTACACACAGCAGCCTGATGGTGACATGAAAGAATGGTCCAGTAGAGATCAGTTCCAGGAAAAACCATAATGCCAGAAAACCCTATAATAAATTAGGAACGAATGTTCACACATATGCATATATGAAATAAGAAAACTCACCTCTAGTGATTAGAGGGTTTTTCACGAAAAAGTCCAAGACGTTGGCCACATGGTCGCAGATCAGGTTGGTAGCAGGAACCAGCATGTCAGACATCAGGTTAGCGGCAGGTATCAAGTCAGGCACCAGGTCAGGAATCGAACGGGAGAGCATCCAAAATAAAATACACTTACGTGTCATATTTAGCCCCATCGAAAAACAGTCATGTATCTCCAAAAATTATGTCGATTTCGCCATTCGAAAAAATTTATCAAAAAGCACTTCAAAATTGCATGTCTGCTTCCCAGGCGTGCAAAATGGAGAAGGACCTCATAGCACACTTTCTTCCAGAACCAGGCAAAAATCTGTCATAAAACCTCAGAACAATAAAGACATCTATCAATGAGTCGTTCCCATGTCGTTCCAGCCAGTATCCTAATAGTTCTTCGAAGGAATTTGGCTGCTAGATGGTGTTCTTTCGATGACGTAGTAGCTCGTGAAAATTTTATCTGTCATCTTCGTCGGCACACAGATGAAAATCAGAAGATGAAGAATTGCAAGATTCCGAACCAAGAAGACGAAAATAATCTGACGTTTAAAATCCTAACCACACTATTTCCTGAAGATAAACATTGAATAACTTGGCAAAATATGCAAAAATGAAATTATTATTATACAAAGACATATACCCAAAACCAGAAGGACGGACAATATGTACATGGAAGGTAAGCACACGTTACTCCCAAGAAAAACATCTTGATCAATATCATAGTAATTGTTTAGCAGAAATCCAACACTGTCTCTATACCTTTCAGAATCAAAACTAAACACCTTTGGATCTATTTAAAAGCAGATGAGCATCATCCTAAAGAATAGAAATTCATGCAGTACTCTGGAAATTTTTGATAAACCTGGTAAGTTTATTTTCATTATTAAAGAATGTTGAGTTATGTTCTCATGTAACATTCATTACTGATATTAGAATTATTATATATTGAACAACTTTTGTTTCTTCTGTTGCAGGTTCAACTGAAACAACGTTCCAGATGTATTATGCAGGGAGATACAGGGAGAGACAATGAACATTCAAGGTGGTGTAGTACATGGTAATATTTAACTATGAATTGTCAAGGTAGGATTCGAAATAAAGTTACATGAATCATTCAGTGTTTGACTAATGATATCTCAAACGAGTAACGTTTAAATGGAGTTTACACTAGTGGGAAAATAAAAACGTTACATTGCGATTCAACTCAATTTGTCGTAAACTCATTTCCATTCAAAAACTTTCAATATATCTTCTATCGAAAAACACGTACGTACCAGTATATCACCTGACGAAGCTACTGTGTTTAGCGAAACATGTCGTGTGTTTAAGAATTTTGTGTAAATTTTTCATCAACTATCGACCGAGTCAATTCAAAATTCGAGAAACACTCAGTTTATGAGTTATTATGCAACATCTTAAATATTCAAAAACTTCCTTCAGACTCAGAATACGACCATGATAAACCAGAACCCTCGAAAAAACATGCACATTAGGCGTTCTCAATTTTTGATTTGTGAGATTTTTCGAACGATATGAATATGAAAATATAACTCTCCGCTATCAAATATTTATATTACGCCTTATGCCGATATATCATAATATGAAGTATTGAGGCTAATTACTCCAAACATCCAATTCTTCAATTTGTTATTATTTCACAAATCCAAGATAACTATCAGATCTAGAGATGTCGTTTCGTGCTTGAATGAGAGCTTCAAAAGATCAGTACAACTCGATTTACAAAGCTTTTTTCGTAGGTTGAGTGGTTATGTCGATATTTGGCACGATTCGAGCAAAAAACTCGGAATTTTTATGTTTTACGAGAATTTTCAAATCTTTGAAGTACTATATTTTGAAAACTATCGAACGTTCAGGGTTGCAATTCAACTGAATTTGTTACAAATTCATATTCATTCAAAAACTTTCAATATATCTTTCATCGAAAAACACGTTCGTACCAGTATATCACCTGACGAAGCTACTGTGTTCAGCGAAACATGTCGTGTGTTCAAGAATTTTATGGAAATCTTCCATCAACTATCGACCGGGTCAATTCAGAATTCGAGAAACACTTAGTTTATGAGTTATTATGCAACATCTCAATGAACTCTAGATATTTCGCCGTTTTTTAATGTATTACGAAGCGAGCACTGGATTTCAGCAGCTGCAAACTTGGGTTGAAACTGCCCTAATTGATCCTGAAAATATATCGAAAAATAAGAACTACATCACTCTTTGTGATTTGAGCTATTCTTTATGTACGATTGGACTGGCGTAAATTGACAATATCTGTTGTCGGTGAAAATATCATGAGGAATATATATATATATATGAGGAATATTGTTTGATCAAGAATTCGGAAAACACTATTGAGCATCAAATTATTGACTGAGATGAAATCGACAACCTTATTTTAATAGTCAACTTTCCAGTCATGGTGAGTTGAGTTGATTATTAAGATTCAACTGATTTGTTATCTGGATCCAAGTCTCACTAGAAGACTGATAGTATTCAGGAAAACAAAGTTATTAAGGATGATCAATTTTTCAGACACTATTTAAACAAACCAAACAATATGAAATTGAAACAATAGTTTTGTTTTCACTTCAGCCATCCTCTTCGTAGACATTCTCTCGTCATGTACCACACCTTCTCACGGGTTCTCTGTGAAGTACTATTCACAATGTCCTGACTATCTTGATTCTCGAAATCAATATCCCCCTTTTCTCTACTAACAGTATTGACATAAAAATGTGCAGCATGTGAAAATCCATATTCTGATTCTATATCCAGCTCTTTCAGAAAATGTTCGTAACTAAACGGTGCCACATCGATACCATGTTTTTTCAGAACATCGATGAATTGCTCGTGGTAATATTGAAGAAAGAACTCTAAGTTTGGTTCTAACACTTCCTGTGGAACACTAGACCAAAGGAAGAAAAACACGTCTGCGGCAGGAGAACCATAGGTAAACACCTGAAAGTCAACAAATTTATTCGATACTGGACGGCCATTATGGAATTTTTGCATGGTGTTATTAGTCCAGAGATCCGTATGAATCATAGTTGCGAAGGGTTCTCTTGGTGTGCTTCTCTTCAATTGTCCCCAGTAGGTGATTTTGGGAGCCAAATAAGCTAATTCTTCGTTGAATTTCACTATATTTCTCAAGATATCGTGGAATTCTTCATGATCTGGGGGATCGAAGTCGTGACAGTGTACTTTGATTTTCTTTTCAAATACGTATGGGTTCCTGATTTTCAGTGCCAAGGGTACTGCGTGGAACGAAGCCATATCTTTGAGTACCATCTTCGTAGTTTCAAAATCGAAACCTTGACAGCGGTCAATATTTTGGTATCCTGAAACAAAGTTGACTATTGAATACATAGCATATGGAGAAGGGTGAGGAATAAACTCAGATAGGGAAGTGATTACCCAAGAGCCAGCTGCAAATTTCGACCGTCATCTGAAAACGAAATGATATACAGGGTCTTGAATAATCAAGTGCCAATTGAACAAGGTGTGAATCTTCAGGTGATCCAAAGGAGAAAAGTTTATATCAACATATGTCCTCATCCTCATAGCATTAGATAGATAGATAGATAGATGCATGATATATTACCGTTTAAGCCATAAAACAATGATCGGTTCGTCATACAAAAAATTTTTGCATTAAAATGTGAATGATATACATGAAAAAATAAGTATAACTAAAGGTATGAAAATTTGTTGAAAAAATTGAATCAGGAGCGAGTCACATCTACATAAATTGGTATACACAGTTATATAAAATACAGTAGTACAGTACCTACACAAGTTAGCACCAACTTATTATAGGTTTATGAATTTTATTATTGTTGATTTTATATTTGGAGATATGCTTGAGATTCTGCTGTGGTATAGAGCTACCAGATGTTGAAATCAGAAGCGTACATTTCATTTTTCAAGTTAAAATATTCGATATCAAGCCTTCGTGAACATCACTGGTGGAAGTAGATAATCTGAATTTCGTCCCGGAACAAAATGTGTTACCACTTATAGTGGTTGCCTAATTACTATCTCAAGGAACTGAAGAAAACAAAGTTTTTAGTTTTAATCGTAGTACGCGAAAACGGTACGCCGTATGGAAGTAAATCTGGAACCAAATTTGCTCCAAAATGAATAAGGATTGCAAAAATATTTTTGGTTTAGAAAACTTAGTGACTTTCAATTTTTTTCTCCAAAAATATTAAGTTCAAACCCCGTACGGATGTCTTTGGTGAAAATTTATAAGTATCTTTCACGTAAAAAAATGCTCCTTGTTGGGGAAAATATGTTTACAGAATTTCATATAAATATCTAGAAGTGATAAAAAATTATGATAAAAATACTTTTTTCCTGAAATTTCAACATCCTGTAGCTCAAAAATCTGGAGGTTTAGGACACATGTTCATCTGAACAGTTCTCCTCAAAATCAACCAAGAATTCACACCTTTTATTATCAGCACTCGAATAATCAACAATCTGTATGTCACAGAGGCATGTGAGAACTCTGAATGTGGATTTGAATACTTGTAGTGCGAGCACTATTTGGGATTACCACTGTTCCACCAGATGATATTATTCGACAAGCGCTGAAAATTCTCGGAAATTTTGACGCTGTCACTAACTAGAGTCACTGGATATTATTAGTTTGATAAGAGTTCGGACACGGTTAGGGTTTTTGAATGTTTAGATTTATTAAGTTACACACCTTGCATTGTGACAAGAGCACCATAGTCGTCCCACGCTTTTTCATTCGAAATTGTTTGAATTTGACAATACATTTTATAAACGTCAGAATTGAAATAAAATTTCAAAATTATACATTCGAGATAAAAGCAGCCATGGAAATTACTTGCTGTGTAATAAATTTTGCCAATTCTGAAAATAATGGATATCATTTATTCAATTTTCTGAAACAATTATCAACCATTCGCTTATGAAAGGAAGATATGAAATGGTCTGGGTAAAAAATAAATTTGAAGACGAGCGAAATTTGTGAGGTACTCATTAAATTTTTTTTTATAACAGCATCTGATTAGAATGAAACTATATTTTAGGTCCATTGTCGAACAGAAGTTTCCAAAATCTGTTTGTGAGAATCTGCTGTTCCATCAATTTACAAAGCAGGAGATTGCGAGAATTAAATTCCATTATTAACATCACACAAAATACAAAACAAAATAATCATGGAAAAGAGGAAATGATCGCAAAATTACATTATGAAATTGAGAATTTGAAAACGAAACTAAAAAACGGAAGTACTACAAATACAAAGTGATATATTATTGAATGGCGTTTTTGGTGCTTTAATTTGATATAAATAACTTCATGTTTTATACTCATCACTGGAATACAATTTCACATACAATAAGGAATTATAGTTATAAGTTTATCCATATGTGTATATTTTCTAATATTAAAATGTTGTTACATGCATTCTTTTCATTTATATAACAGTTGTTCTGCTAGAAGTGTAAATTAAAGTATACCCATTGTCCATCTACGGCTATGATTGATTTGACAGATAATATAACCTCTGAAATCGTATCTGACAATCAGGCACTACTAGGGAAATTGGGGAGACAAAGAGCAATATATATGTCTTATTCTTTTATTCACTTAAACCATTGTATTATAGAGAATAGAAAAGGACAGAAGTACAGCTGTGTCCGAACTCTTATCAAACTGATACCATTTAGTGACTCTATCACTAACTCAGTTCAGTGTGGATCGCAGCATAGGATATTCGCAATGGAGACATGATCCCCATTTATTTGCATCTGGTTTCAACTCGGTATCAAAGGACAAAAGTATGTACGGAATAACGACAGCAAATGAGATGCTTTTCCGTGGATCTGACACAGATTAGAGGGTGGCACATGTAAGTTTTTGAGATCTACCATTCAATTGGCATCGAATGGCATTATTCTCATCTCGTTACCTCGTTATCGAATCGCAAAATTGAGTACAAATGCCCGCACAGAGAAGTCATTTCTCAATCATATTCCTCAGGATAGTGATTGGCATAGGTGGTGTTCGATGCCTTTGAAACATATAACATTTTGTTATCAGATTACGGTCGAAATTTCCAGCCGGCTTTCGTACTATGAGTTTGAAATTCACGAACTCACGAACGACGCTTTAGGTACGACACACCACAGCTATGCACGACATATGAGTAATTGAAGACTGGTCTTAGTCAAATCTAAAATGAAAAAAAACTTCAACATTATCTTTATATTGAAGTGGAATGTTTGGAAATATAATGAACATGTAACATTTAGTTCAATCAACGAACGCGAAAACTGATTGAATAGAGGAAAACAATCGTACTGACGCGAATTGTTAAAAAGTGGTAAAGGCCCAATTAACCAGTGTTGATCACAGTGAAGTTGTAGGGAATCATCATTGTGGAATTGCGACTTCGCATTTCTGATTCTGAAAAGGTGCACCAGTATTGATTGGCTATTGCTTAATGTCCGCAACATCATACATCGCCAATGAGATGTAATAACATCACATCGTTGATCAATTTTAGTTACGAAGCAAACATGCAATTTCTGACTGTTGCGGTAAATCGCCGAAGTTCCACTATAATGTTCAAATCATAATTCTATCTCACAGTATTTGTCAACTCTGGGACATTCTCCGATCTTCATGTGTCAGCAGCACCATCTTCCGATTAATTTCAGTTACACGTTCACTTTCACTACTGCATGAAGATGAAATAGATGATGAAATTCATTTTATGATTCGAGGCAAACATTTGTATCATTTCGATTCAGTATATTCACCTACATAATGAAAATTATGATATTCTCATGTAGATATTCGTGTTCGTATAATATTGAACTTGAATCATTACTCACGAAATTATTAGTTTGAATTCTTTATTCATATAATTTGTACCCATGATTCATACTTTGAAGGACTATTTCACCCATCACATAATCTGACCAATCACAAGCCAGAGACAACGTCGACTTATCGTGAAACACCTAGCTATCTTTCAATTCTGATTGGTCTGACAGTGTTCGTGTTTTCAACGATGTAACTATGGATAGCAAATCAAAGTTTGGCAGTTTGACAAAAAATTGATTGGAGACGTCAGAATGAGTCGCTTCGGTGCAATTCCAAATGAAGTTATCAACCAAAATATTGATGAAAATGTACCTTCAAATAGCAAAAAATCAAAATCTTATGTATGAGTGCGGATGACTTCGGAACGTCGGCAAAGAATATCAAAAGGATTGCGCCTTCTTTGTTCTACTATACACTCAACGTGACCACAGAGGGGTTAACAAGTACCTATATAATTTTAAACTAGAAACACTTATTCATTACTCCTATTCGATAGCTATTCTGGTTTTTATTCAGATGATATATATACATAAATAAGATGATATGCATGTTATGCATCCTGTGAACATTCGAATATCAGCCGCTACACTTCAGTGTTTTTTTTCAGTCTTGAATAAATCGTTATTCTAGGAACTATCCATTTGCTGCATTCTGTTCAAGGTTCATATTGCGCAACTTTGAGATGTACTTATGCTTATTCACGATAGTTTTTGGTTCGATTTTTTTATTTAAAACGATGGTTTATTGTGCTGTGGTGGGTTGTTCGAGTAACAACAATAAAAAGAGCGAAAACTCTACCAGTTACCGGTTCTTCACATTTCCAGCATCGGAAGAAATTTGCAATGTATGGGTTCAGAAATGTTACCAGAAGCATACATTCAACATAAAAACTGCTAGAATATGTTCCCAGCATTTTTCAGACGATGATTTCCGATTGAGAGAAAAACTTTTGTAATTATCGAAGAATAAATGGAAATTGAAAACTGATGCCATACCTTCACTTAACCTCCCAAAAACACCAAAACCTACAACAAAATTACAGGACAAGCGTGATAGAAGAAATGGAAAAAGGTTTTAGAAAAAAAAATTCACATAACTCGTGAGTGTATACTCAAATGGATATTTTTATTCATATTCATTCAGTTTGAGCTTATTGTAGGGTTTCAGTACTTTGAATTATTCTACTGGGATTCAGATTTGAGTAGAAGTATAGGTTTCTTGGAAATACTAATAAACAAGAAGATTGAGTTATTGAACATTCGACTCTGGGGAAGAATATACCTACTAATTAGCAAAAATTTTTAATTTGAAAATATCCAAGACACTAGTAGTTTCAGAGTTGAAGTATATTGTGTAGAGTATGCAGAGAATGGGTTCTTGAACAAGTCTCGTGTGTTTTCCACGAGCCCTATAACTCTGGATATTTCGGTGGTGCATGGTGAATAGTTTGCACAATTACATTTTCAGTCAGGAT